GAGAGACAGAGAGAGAGAGAGAGAGAGAGAGAGAGAGAGAGAGAGAGAGAGAGTATCCTTTGGGATATGCCAAATGATCGCAGCTTGACTGCCTGTGCGGAGGAATTTTCATTTAAACAATGTGCAGCAAGTGGTTCAACTTAGCAACCAAAGGCAGGGGCCCCAGCGGCAAATCGCAGCTGCTTTGCTGTGCTGTCAAACGTCAAATAGTGGGAACGGATTAGGCTGATAGGGCAACTGTGGCTCTTTAATATTTCTAGCCATGCACTTGCTGAGAGATGCAAAATGCCTCAGGTTTCAATTTTACATGTTTATTTACTTATTTTATATATGCAGCCTTTCTCCACAACGGGTACCCAAAGCGCCTTACATCATTCTCCTCACTATTTTATCCTTACAACAACCCTGCGAGGTTGGTTAGGATGAGAGAGTGTGACTGGCCCAACGTCACCCAACAAGTTTCCATGGCAGAGTGGGGATTCAAACCTGAGTCTCCCTGATCCTAGTCCGATACTCCTAACCACTACACCACACTGGCTCCCAGGCTGTTGTTGAGTATCCCGAGTGGCACAGCCACATAACATTATAAAACCAAAACACAGAATGTACATAACTATTTCCCTAAATCATTAAGCATTTGCTCAATAGAGTATGTGATATCCAATGGCACGCTAGGGATGCCAAACTCCAGGTGGGACCTGGAGCTCTCTCAGAATTACAGTTTATCTCCTGACAACAGGGATCAGCTCCCCTGAAGAAAATTACTGCTTTGAAGGGTAGACTCTAGGACCTTACTGAGGTCTTTCCTCTTCCTAAACCCCACCCTCCCCAGGCTCCACCCCCAAATCTCCAAGAATTTCCCAGCCTCAAGTTGGCAACCCTATGACATATAGGTATATGGGCTTTAGGCATACCAACACCCTTGCGATAGTTTGCTATGCCGGGTGAAAAGGGGTTAAAAGGAATGGCATTCCTACTTATCTACCTCCATGGGGGGTAGGCAGAGGACAGAATTAGGAAAGAACATGGTGGTGGTGGTGGTGGTGGTGGTAGGGAAGTCATCAGTCTTTTTCATTGCGGCTTTTTCCTTGCACTGAGGTCATCAAGGTAACTTTTTTTTACCATCAAGCCACAGGTGACTTAATGGTGACCCCTGTGGGGTTTTCAAGGCAAGAGGTGGTTTGCCATTGCCTGTGACCCTTGACTTCCTTGGTGTTCTCTCAGCCAAATACTAACCAGGGCAAGCCCTGCTTAGCTTTTGAGATCTGGTGAGATTGGCCTTTCCTGGGCTATCCAGGTCATGACATTGAGATACTAGGGCAGATTAAAATCGCTAACATTTAAACAAGACCCTGCTGCCATGCCTTTCATAGCAGCTTCGTGTACACACATTAAAAAGGTAAAGGTAAAGGTTCCCTTGCTCGAAAGCCAGTCGAATCCGACTCTAGAGTTGCGGTGCTCATCTCCGTTTCAAAGCCAAAGAGCCAGCGCTGTCCGAAGACATTTCCGTGGTCATGTGGCCGGCATGACTAAACACCGAGGCACACGGAACGCTGTTACCTTCCCACCAAAGTGGTACCTATTTATCTACTTGCAATGTCTTGCTTTCAAACTGCTAGGTTGGCAGGAGCTGGAACTAGAGACAGGAGCTCACTCCGTCATGCGGCACCCGGGTCTCGAACTGCTGAACTACTGACCTTCCACAGCCTGCAGTTCACCGTCTTAACCACCTGAGCCACCACACACATTAGCAAGTAATAATATTAATCTCCATGCAGTACAACCCTTAATCTCTTGAGTTTTGGAGAAGAGATTTTCCTGTGACACATTAATTGGTTGGTCTGGTTTATTTTCCCCAAGTCATTTGGCAACCCTACTAGGCATTCTGCAACACTATAAGGAGCAACAGAGAATATTTACATGTATTTTTTAATTCTTTAATTATTCCTTCATGACTTCTGCTAATGTACCAGTTGAGGTGTTCCCCCCCCCCCGCTCCATTTGTAACATTGGTGAAAACACCTGTGTACTCCTCTTGGTCCTGATCTGGAAGCTTTAAGTGACTCCCGGGCACGCAGGGGGCCCAATCAGACTCCCAATGTGAAACAGCCCAGGACAGCCAGTATTTGTCTTGCTGGGGAAATTTACATGTAGCTCATCAGTACAGGATGATATCCCCAGCAAGGCAAACAGTGGTTCCCCACGTCATGGAATATGATGCAGAGGAAAGGTTTATGCTTTCTCTCCACACACTCAGCAATCCTGGTCCAAATTAAGTTCCAAACACAGAACTCCTGGATCAATATTTGGTCAGCAGGACTGTGTGAACCCATGAGGACTTTGTGATACATAATTAAATAACTCTACTTTACCCTGTGAGGTTAGCTTGATAGATAGATAGCAATTGTCCAAGGTTCCAGAGCAAATTTTATGGTTTAGCTGGGACTTGAACGGGAATGTCTCCCATGTTCAACCCAAACACTCTATCTACTGCACCACAAGGACTATTTCAAGTGTCATTTAATCCTGGCATCCACAGAATTTGATCAGGCCCACTTCCTAATAAACAGATTTAGGATCAAAGCCTGCTGTGAACATTTACTCCAAGTTAAATCTCACTAACCTCAATGGAGCTTATTCACAAATTAAGTGTAAATAGAACTGTGACCCATAATTTAATTCAGTGCAAATTACTTCTGAGAAAATGTGTATCAGATTGGGCTATCAGCCTGCTACATGTCCTTTAAATAAATATTTCCAGGATTATGATATTGGTCCACTCAATTGATTTGTGGAGGGAATGGTATGAAGAAAAAATTATGTTGTGACAGACTGCACTTAAGCTAAAGGACTGTGAAGGGTTAATTCTTCACAGAATCTTCACTACCCAAAGGAGTCTTGGAGCAACTTACAATCACCTTCCCTTCCTCTCCCCTGTGATGTAGATAGGGCTGAGAGAGTTCTGAGAGAACTGTGACTAACCCAAGGTCACCCAGTTGGCTTCATGTGGAGGAGTGGGGAATCAAACTCAGTTCTCCAAATTAGAGTCCACCACTCTTAACCACTACACCAAGCTGACTCTCACTTGAGAGCTGCATGCTGAGGAGAGAGTCAGTCAAATCTCTGCCTTGACTTAGTTCAGTCTTATTTCAGCCCTAGCTGAGACGTGTTGAGTACTGACAGTTTCAGAATTCAGCCCTGACTGAGAGCAGTTTAACACAGACAGGATAACTGGGGGGGAAGTTGGCAAGGAAGTTTGGAAAGCAGGTGAAGACTCCCATTTGGACCAAGGAAAGTGGATAAATCTTCTAGGGAGAGAAGAATTTACCTACCCAGTCAAACAGGAAGTTAATTCTGAAGAGTGTAGAGATCCCTGGTCTGGTGTGATCAGGAACTGCCTGTAGAAACCTTAAGGGTGAGTTAAAAACTCAAGACAAGTACTGGTGTTTGAAGAAAAGGGCTGGGTACTGGAAAGAGAGTTTGCTTGTGGAAAGCAAAGGCATTTGAGAATACTCAAAGAAAGTGTACTGAAGTGTTTGGGGAAAACACTGGAACAAAAGCCTCTCAACATAAAGACTTTAAGCAACTGAAAAGAATATCTCATTAGCCTGAAACTAAGAACTAAAGTCTGTGCATGTACTGGTTTTACCTTAGAAATTTCAACCCCTGATTTTACCTGACCTTTCCCCTATATGTTAAATAAAATATTTTGTTATTTTTGAATTTCAAAATGCCTTGATTGCTATTTAAGTTTTTTAAGTTAAAGTGAGCTCCCGATCCTTTCTTTAGGTTCCTGGGCTGAGCCAACAGCCAAAAGATCGTACTGTGACAGGCTGGGACAGCCAAAGTTCTTCAGCCCAAAAGAAAACACATTACTAGGGCGGCTCAGTCAGTAAAGGGAAAGAAAAACAGAGGGAAAATCTTTCCTCTGAGGGAGGGGAGTGGACAGGGCCTTCATCACAAGTCTATTTTGTCCCCAGTGGTGCATAACTTCTAACTGCCAGACAATCTTAGGATCTCCTGGCTATACTACACACACTGCCATATGATTATTATTACTACCTGTGTAAGTCAGAAATTTAAGGTAACTTACCATTCATCTGCCACAGCATCTGGAACCCAGAAGATTCACCAATGCTATCAGAAGAGAATACAACATGTAGACTAGAACTTAGGGTGCCTCCAGATGGGAGGTCCATATTGCCACAGAAATTGCCTATCAGGCTGGACTGGGCATTCGGCCCATCATAAAGCTAAAATCAATCAAAAGAAAACATAATGGTTATTAACTTGATTTATTTATTTAAATTCATTTAAAATATTTACCCATCTTCCCTCTCAGCATTTCAGTACCCAAGGTTGAATTTTTAAAGAAGCTCTATCTTGGATATAATATCTCTTGGATATTATCCAAATATGTAACACCTAGGGGTGCGTTCAGACGGGGCGTTTCAGCCGGCAGAAACTGCACCAGTTCCAACCGGTGCAGTTTATGCCGGCTGAAACGCGATCACACTTACTTCCGATCTGCGGAGCCCATCGCTGTATGCCCGTTCACACACAGCGGGCATCGGTGGTTTTTTTAAAACTCAGTTTGCGCATGCGCATAGGCAGCCATCCACAGAATGGTGATCTTCGCGCATGGCCTCCCTGAGGTTCCGGACTCCTCTAACACCTTAAACTAAGGACCTTTTTCTTTTTTAAAAAAACAAACGCCAGGGCGAAGCTTCGCCCAAGCGCATATCACCAACCTAAAAAAAAATGGTGGGCAAAAATCGGAAGCCTCGGGCTTCCGAACGGAAGTGGCTCTACAACGGTGGAGAACGATCAGACGGGGGGAAAAGCGATTACAACCGTTGCACTCAGGATACCACCACTTGGGGACCTAGTGGCAGAATACAATGGCTTAAAGCTCTTTGCAATGGTTAGGGACGGAAGGCAGATGTTCGCCGTGTGAACGCCGGTAAGTACACCGATTCCAACCAGCACCTATACTGTTGCAAATGCCCCATCTGAACGCACCCCTAATATGGTTGATTTGAACAAGTCATATAATCAGTATTGTTCTTTGTGCAGCTTGGCTAGTCCATGGAAGCTTCTTATGCTAGTAGTCATCAAACTGCCAATGGCAAAAAGTCCCCATAGGCTGGGAATGCATTTGGTAAAGAAGTCTTTGTGACCCTCTCTACTGCTTGGAGAGCATAAGAAACCGCCTGCTGGATCTGATTAAAGGTCCAACAGGGTCAGCATTCTGTTGCCAGCAGTTCACAACATAAACACTTTACTTGTTCCTAGCAATCTCTCCCACATACCAGAGTGCTGCTATTGTAAATACAGCAGAAAAGAAATGCTTGATTAAGCTTGATTTTAAAAATGGGAAATATTTTAACATTTTTAAGCTTAAAAAGTTTAACACTTCCATGGTTCATGATGACTTTAACTCTACATGAGAATAACTTAACATTAGCTGTATAAGAATTAATATTTGTACTTGATATTTGCAAAAACTGTTATTCCCTGTGTTCATTCTGCCCTAGTCTAGCACTCATCTGATTTTCTGACTCATGAAACATGACTTTTGGAGGCAATCCAGCAAATACTTGGCATACATCTCCATCACTAAGTTACTGGAATGTCATTTTTAGAAGTTTAACAGAGACTTCTTTGGTTTGGGACATATTAGTTAGAATAGTGGTGGGGTGAGAGTGTGCCTTTCACACACATTTCCACTGTTTTAAGTAATCTCTTTTTCCACCACTTTGCAAAGGCCTTCAAGTGCTCTTAAAGGAGTAGAGATTGGTGGGAAGGAGGAAAACTTCATTATTGCCAAAGCAATGGGGCCAACACCCTCACCCTGATCTAGTTGTGCATATTTGACTAGTTGTGGCATTCACACTCGAATGTAAACATTTCTCCTACAACTAACTCCATGTTCCATGCCCTGCTTGCATGAACAGAGTGCACAGTTGCCATAGTCAAAGGGATTATTGCTTTCCTGGATGCTTGGTAAAACACAATACTCTTTCAGCACTGCAATACATTTCTTAATTCACCTGGCTTTGTGGTGGTCAAAGCTATGCCAGTTAGGGTTACATGTAGATTTTGTGCCTTAAACTGATTATAATTAAAAATTTATATATCTCTGTAGTTTAAAAACTATTTTCCCTAGTCCCAAAATCTCAGGATGCTAGAAGTTAAATAAAAGTTACATAGATAACATCTCAGCAAACAAAATCTATTTTGCCTGCAATGTATTTATTTGGAGTATTCCCTTGGGAGTGCTATATGGTACTCACACAGTACTCCCTTGGGAATATTAATTTGTTTTCTGAAATAACCTTGTGATATATATATTTTGTAGGTACAGTTTCCTTGATACAACTATTCTCAGCCAGAAAAAAATGTTCTGAAAGGAAAAATAATATCCATTGCTTGAGAATATGGGGTGTATTTTTGCATGAAGGCATCCCATACTTGAGCTGATTGCATCCTACTGATCTTGTTTGATTCAAGCAGATTGAGAACATAATGCAGCTGAAATACCCATCGATCTCTACAAGTAACAAGTTACAAAACCAACAACAGTTGGTAGCAGTAATATTCAGCTAATTCTGGAAAGCCAAACAGAACCGCATGATTATTTTCCTAAGCATGATTTCATCAAGCAGGAGTTGTTTATCCTCAGCAGACAGCAGTAATTTCCCATTTCTACGTAATTCCTATGAAAACAAACACACCGTTTTTCAAATACACAGATAATGGTTGCCCTAGAAACCACTCCACATAATACCATTTCCAATTTGGTTTGAGCAGGACATATTCTTCTCAGGAAATCCAAATGGTTAGACAGCTGGAACTGTTTGAGAGGGGAGGCTACAGCTAGAGTTACAAGCACTGGTAAATGTGCAATACGGAAAAGAACAGCTGAGTGTTTTCATTATGAATTTTGAACATCTCAGGCATTATTCTGCCCTTAAAAATGCAGAACCAAGAATCTGCTCAAGTGGATTATGTTCTTCTGGCATGCTAGCAATTTCTCAAGTAATTTTCATATCTTGAATATCTTATACGTAGCACTGGCCTGCCTTTTATTTATGTATAACACCTCACACCTTTAAGTGGGAAAAATGAAGACCGCTCTCTATTACTGCCTGCCTAGAGAGTAAAGATTACCTTCTAAACTTCCCCAAATGAATACTACTTCAGATATATGTTGACTACTCACTTGTTTTGTTTGTTCGTTCTTGGAAATCAGTAAAATGGTTGAATATTACACTATATAGCACAGTGTTAAAGATAATGATATTTTAAGAAAATTGTCTTTCTGATAAAAATAGGGATTCAGTAATATTGAATACTGTCGTATTTGCCTTTGTTGTCCAAATTCTTCATTTGTGTTTCGGATATAAAATTAGGGTTGCCAGATCAAGGTTGGGAAATTCCTGGAGATTTGGGAATGGAGCCTGGGGAGGTCAGAGGCCTCAGTGGGGTACAATGCCACAGACTCCACCCTCCAAACTATCCATTTGATCCAGGGAAATGGGGAAACTGATCTCTGTTGTCTGGAGATGAGCTGTAATTCTGGGGGATCCCCAGATACTACCTGGAGGATGGCATCCGTATATAAAATCCAGCATGTTATTTCAATATATTTCAGTAAAGCAGTAAATACATGAGACTGAGGGTTTGTGTATTATTTCTTTTGCAAGGCTCATAATTTTCTCACTGCTAGGATTAAAGTTCCCTGGGAATTTACTGAAACCATAACTGTTAATATCTCATTCACCCCAACCTGTTCAAAGACTTCTGGGTAGGGTTGCCAAATCTGCAAAACGTACCGGCAGGGGAGCGTCCAGCCGGTCCGGGAGCCTTTTGCGGATGCGCGCGCGCGCGCCGCCAGAGCATCACCGGAAGTGACGTCATGCGCTGGGCGGGGCCACGCCATTTGAGGGGAAAACTCTTTGTTTTCCCCTCAAATGGCGTGGCCCCGCCCCCAGCGTGCGACGTCACTTCCGGGTGATGCGCACGCCGGGGCGGAGTTCCCCCCGGGCCCCTATTCCCCGGCGTCGGGTAACGGGCCTCCGGGGCGGGGGGAATTCCGCCCTACCGGGGGGGTTGACAGCCCTACTTCTGAGGCAGGACTAGACCAAACTGTTTTAGCACCTTAGAGGGAAAATCCAACAGACCCCTTTCCTGTGGTAAAAATATATACGTAGCCATCAAGTCAAAGTGCTGCATTTTACCTTTAAAGCCCTTCATGGCCTAGGACCCTCATACCTATTGAACCACTTCTCCCACTGTATGGCCCCGTTCAGACTGGCAGTTTGGCCCGGCGGCAGGCAAACGTTTGAGGAGCATTTCAGTAGCAGCTTAAAGGGGCGGGTTCACACAGCCACATGTTTCAGACATCCCCCAACCATAGTCAAGCCGTCTTGTGCAACTTCCCACCCGAGTTTAAAAGATACCATGTTAAAGTGGTAGCAAACCATGTATACAGCGCATTGATTCCAGTTCCCTGAATGTGAATGCAAGTACTGCTAAGGTGGGAACAACCCGCAGTCATTGATGATAGGCACCAGCTGTGTCCGTGGGCAGGCAATGATCCTCCCCTATTTGCCGCTGTACCCATGCACCCATGCACATGGGCGCATGCAGCCCAGCGCAGAAACAGCCACTAACAGGCTGCCAGGGCGGCTCAACAGTGTGAACGCTCCCTTGCGCTTCTTCCATGGTATCCTCCCGATTCATTCACTGCACTGTGAACGGGAATACCGCAAACAAGCCATTCCAGGTATGTTCCGGGTTTTCTTTGCCATGACTCTCTAGTGCTTTAAACTGCCAGTCTGAACTCGGCCTATATGTGTCAGCTATATGTCTCAAACTGACTTTTATCGTGATGTTCTCTCTTAGAATTTTTTTCTCCAGGATTGCTTCTGTGGAAGGTTCTAAGGACTGGCATATCAGAATGGATGGGGAAGACCTTCACTTGCTGCTTTTAGGAAGGCAGTATATTTCATTTGGTAGTGGTGGGGTAATCTTTTTTGGAACATTCAACGACATTTTTTAATCTGTGCATTTTTAACCTCTGTGCTGTTTTTATCTGGTTAATCGACAATTCTGTTGTTTCATGTCGTGGGAAATTGTGGTTGCATCATTAATCACCTTGAGTCTAAGGAGATCAAGTGGGACATAAGTATTCTAAATGAGTAAAGGAATAATTTCCCACCACATGCTGGCAACTCAGTGATTCTCA